TAAAAAGCTTCCTTGACCAGTACCTCCGTCGCCTGAGCAGCAACTTTCAATCTAAAAGCTGTTTTGGAAAGCTACGGTGGATGTCTTTAATTCATCCCTCCATGATTTTTTTGGGCGAGCCCAACTGACCAAGTGAGGAGCGGCAGAAGCTCAGTGCTCTGAAGAAACGCCTCAAAGACACAAACTCAAGGTCCCTTGCCTCTCCTTAATGACTCTCCTTGGGGATTTTAAAGATAAAAGGTGCATGTGAAAGCCACTGGAACACTCTTTAATTGGGCGTGGCCCACGAGTTCCTCCCTGGGTCAAAAAAGGGGCAACCGCAGCAAATGAAGATCAATGTAGTAAAAAAAATGCCAACAACAGTGTTTTCGCAAACTCCTTGGCTTCTAACGCCCGAACCTGGCCAATAATTTGCAACCCAAACAGTGTTGCCGATTGGTGATTTTGCGGTCTTTAATTTATCTTTCGGCACTTTTTCTGTCGCTGCCCAAAAAGTTGGGTTAGGAGCCACGCAAACCTACGCAACGTTGCCAATCTGTCAATGGAAGCAAACCAGACTTGGGCTGATCGTTATTCAATGCTCTCTGCGCCGATTTTAAAGAGAAAAAATGCGTTTTAAAGACAATTTCACGCTCTTTAATTGATGTCTTCGTAAAAATTTGGCCCGGACTTCAAATAGTGGAAGCAGAAGCAATTTAAGGTTGCCACAGCGTCAAACTCTATGGTCCGACCACTGATTACCCCTTTGTAGACCGAGCTGAAGAGACAGTTTTTTTTTTATCTTTAATTCATCCTGCTAACGTTGTGGGCAACAATGTGAACTTAGCGGGCCAAAAAACACTTCTTTAATAGAAACGGTGAAGAATCGAAAGTTTAAGGCAATGGAAAACGAGCAAATATGCTCTGGCCATTTGTGCAGCGTTGCCGGTTCTGAACTTAAAAATAAAAAACTGGGTTTAGAGACAAACCAACCTCCTCCTTAGTGGGTCGGACCACAAAATTTTCTTGAGGGGCTCCCGAACTCGAGCAGAAGCAAAGCAAGTGGAGTGCAAAGAAGACTTTTTCACCCAGCGCCTGCACCAGTTCTTTTGCTTGCAACTCAGTGATCGGGCTGAGTGGGCACAGTTGCCGAACTGTACTGGAAAGATCATGATCCGTGCTTTAAGTTATCTTTAAACCGCGTTGTTGCCAAGTCTCACATTTCGCTGCTACAAGCGCTTGAAAGCCGGTGCTGTGAGGAAAGGGGCAACAAAGACATCCAAATAGTCTTTGGGCGTTTACTCAGCGCTGGTGAGATGGAGTTTTTAGGTTAGACTGGCGTGTGAAAGACAAAGTCACACTTTATAATCGGGTTTTAGCAAATATTATTCAAAAATTAAACTGGATGGAAAAGGGCGGCAGCAGAGGCTGACGAAGAGCAACACTAAG